ATCTTGAATCGGGGATGATGTTCTCTTCCAGGTTGGTCATAAGCGGTTCGAATGTTGCTCTGAGTGTTGTCGAGCAGTACGAAGTGATCTCGCTCCATTTAATAACGCCAAAGGAGTATAGTCAGCTGGAAAACATAATGAACTAATGCCTGCACAAGGTTTCTAGCCAGAGAGTTGAGTTTTAAGAGCCCAGGCAATCGTATTACACACTTCATTTGTTAGTATATTTCTTAGTAACAGTGTGTTTGGTTCGGAGTGGACTGTTGGAAACCCAAGTATTTGTTAAGTTTCATGGGGTTCGATGAGGTATCTTTGGTTCATTATCAGTTTCCAAATTTATAACTTGGATATGAGCCGCGAAATGATATTCACTCTCCTGCACTTATCCAACACGAATTCATCTTAATGTCGTCAGTGAGATTCTCCGTCAACGTTTATTAGTTGCCGCATATGACTCTCAGTGTCTGCATAGAGCTTCAGGCTCATCCATGTAAAGGAGATGTGAAGACACGAAGAAGAGTGAGTTCCCCTTTTTAAGAGCGATTCCATAATTAAATGAATTAAGTAGAGTAGAAGAGGGGATTCAAGGCTAACAGAACAATAAGAGGACTTAAAGAGGCATACTCTGGAAATTCCCTCCGGGGGTATGTGTATGGTATCTGTGTGGTAACGGTTGGTCCATTAGATGAGAAAGTATCCACGATCCATCGAGTTCAGGAGTTTGGATAAACGGGGACTGGTACATCAAAATGAATGAGCCAAGAATGGGTCCGGTGTCGAATGCAGCGTAATTCTATGTAGCTATGCGTACAAGTTCTTTGTTCAAGCACTTGCCCCATAATTACAGAGTCAATATGAGTTGCTCCTTGCATCCCTGAGATCCAGGTTACATCTTTTCTGTTCATTTGGCTAAAGATGTTCTGTTCAATGTGTGTTCATATCTTTGCTGACACAAGTTTATGAGCTTTTGTAGAAAAGTTTGAAGGCAAGGTTTTATAAGGCCTGTACTTCGAGGGGTCTTTAGTGTACCCTCTTTGTAACAAAATGTTCTACTTCAAGTGAGGAAGTGAGGGGTGATCTTTATCTCTGGATTGTGAAAGAAAATATTGAATTATATTAGCTTTATATGATGTGAGTGCTGGTAAATTTTTTGAGCCAATAATTGTGGAGACCATCACTGCTTGGTGCCTTCCAGTTTTATGTGCTTTGCTCAAAGTGCTTGGAAATTTCCACGTGATGATTGGTTCACACCTACTTAGAAGGGGATATCTCGGTGTTGTCATATTCCATTCAATTCAGTCATATCTGGGTTGTGGGACACAGCAGATGACAGAATGGTTCCAAAGTCTCTATTTGTGCCTTTTGGGGAAGCTTTGACTCTTCCTATCATTTACAAGTCTTTGGCCCTTTTGACATATTCCTGTAGAAATGCTTTCTTCTTCTTCTTCTTCTTCTTTCTTTTT